TGAGGACCTGAGTTCAGATCCCCAGACCCCATGTAACTAGCACATGGGCACAGTTGCCCACCCATAAATCCAGCTCTCAGAAGACAGAGACAAGGCAGCTCCAGAGCAAGCGGACTAGCTTCAACTGGGAGACGCTGTCTTGATGAGTAAGATGGAGGACAACCAGCTGCCACACATCTGTATGCCCACACACAGGCACGAGCACCACACACGCATACACCAGAGAGGAAAAGAAACTTGTACAGTAAGGTATTTAGGAAAAACCAATACCCTGGGAGGTGAGGCGGACCGATCCAACAGGAATGCCTAGACATGCTGAGCTCCCTGATAACCAAGTCAAAAGGGAAGCGTGCGGAAGTCCGCAGTTCTCATCAGCCTGCCAAGGAAGTGTGTCAATTTGTCTGAGATGCACACACACTCTTAAAAGGCATCTCTAGCAAGAATTTACTATAGAATACTTAAAGGAGAGGAGTGGGGTGTTTGATAGCAGTTCTTTGAATACTACTTATGTTTCGTCATGGACTAATCTATAGAACTGAGCACCAGCATGACCCATATAAAGCAACAGACATCAGAGAGGGAGAAAAATGGAACTCGGGTGTGAAACTACACCACACTGCACCAGCAAGAAAGTGTGCGCTCTGGCAATAGTCCACGGTTTTGCAGCTGATCATGAGGCTGGATTTGTAATCTACTAAATTATAAAGTGGGAGTTTCACTCAGTGGTAAAATGTCTGTGTAACCAACATGAGGTCCTCAGTTGAAACTCCATTACCACTACCATGGCTCCAATGAAAACTCTACTAACGTTAGTGCTCTTACCAAGGAGTAGAGGGGTCCATGCATGCGTGCCTGAGCCATCTCGTCTTCAGTCTTTCTGTCTCGTTTTTCCCAGCTTCTTTATCCTGTCATCAACATCAAAACACGGGGATTTGTTTGTATGAATCATCACTGTGGGTATTTTTCCTCTGGGGCAAAAATATACAATTAGGTTAATGGATCAAAATTGCTGTCACTGGGAAAGCAACCTCCCACCTGTCCTTCCTGTGCTCCATGATGGAGAGAACTGTAGGGAACCAAGGCAGGAATTCTGTCAGCCGCTCGATAGGTCACCTATAGCTTCACAACTGGGATTTGAAAAATAAACAGTTTGGAGCCAAGTGACCATTTGGAAGTAGATTTGGCCCCCATTTCTATTTACTGACCTACCCCTTCGAAATCAAGCATTTCCTGGTTTTTTTTATCTTGTGGTTCTGGAACTTGTACATGATACGTAAGTAAGTCACGGAGCTATACCCCACCCTCCCTATGTCTTGAGTTTGGTTATTGGATGGGGTAGAAACAATTCCAATAATAGTCGACAGATCTCAGTGCTTTGTTTTTTTTCCACTTGATTTTCACTCCAGAAAATCCCTGCCCACCTCTCCAAGCTGCTTCCTCGAGGCTGTCCAGGGTCTGCCAACCACATCAGCTCTGGAAGACCGTAAGAGGTTCTGAATCTTCAGCGTACTCACTCAAGTCACACTAACATCTGCTAGGGTTTTTAGTTCTGCCAGGGATTTCCAGCTCAAGTAAGTCCTGAGTGTCTGCCTATACATTCAAGCTGAAGATCTCTGCAGGTCAAACTTTTCTGAGTATTGACTGACTTCCTGGCTTTGCCTCTTTGACAGCCTCTTAATTCCAAAGAGAGTCTCTGTTGCAGAGCATCACAATAGCAGCATCGTTCACTTTCATCCTCAGACTTAAAAGCCCAGACACCATCTTGCTTTATGGGACTATAAGGAACGATACTATAGTGGATGAGTAACAGGTCAAGCAAATAACCCATTCTGAAAAGCGTTCATTCCCGCATCCTCTATCCTATGTGTGTAAAATTCTATTAAATATACATTCTCTTAAATTTCTAGCATCTTGGCTTCATTAAGTGTGGGTCGCTGCTGAGTTCAGCAAGACCCACTGCTGACACTGGCAATGCTTAGCATTCACTGTCAAATTGACAAACTCAGAAGGACTTCTGGACATACTTGGCAAGGACTATCCAGATCACACTAATTGATGTGGGAAGATCCAACTTCATTGTAGGCAAGACCATTCCCTGGGCAGAGGACCCAGGTATATGTGTATACACACACACACACACACACACACACACACACACACACATATATATATCAATGGAGAAGGCAAACTGAGCTCCAGCAAACATTCATTGCTTCCTGGTTCTTGGTTGTGTTCATGTAATGTAACCAACTCCTGATGACTTGACTTCCACAACACGATGGGTTATACCATGAACTGTGAGTCAAACAACTCTTTGTGTCTCAACTTGGCATTTGTTGAGTTATTTTATCACAGAAACAGGACACACACACATGCACACACACATACACACACACACATACACACGCACACACACTCACTAGTGCAGAACCTCAGGTGGATGACTTGGAGTCAGCAAGTTTGAACAAGAGCAACAGTGGCCCAGTGTTCCTCTTTGCTGCGGTTCTTCAGTAGCCCTTTCCACATTTACTCTGCAGTTTCTGCTGACGTAAACTATTTTGCTTAGTTTTCCATGAACTTGACATGAACTAGAGTCATCTGGGAAGAAGGAACCTCGAGTGAGAAGTGCCTTCCTCTTTTTGGCCTGTGGACAAGTCTGCAGGGCATTTTCTTGAAGGATGGTTGATGCGGGAGGACCCAGCCCACCGTGGGTGGTGTCACCCCAGGTCAGGTGGTCCTAGGAGGTATAAGAAATGTAGTTCAGGAAGCCTCTGGTGTTTATTGAGCATGTTTGCCATTAACCTGTTACTTGGCAGGAAGATACTCTTCATTCCTGAGTAGTATTCCACGGTGTGGGTAGTTCACATTTGCTTTAGCTGTCACTGGTGAGTAGACTGTTGGGTTCTGCTGCTCTGTCAGCGTGGTTGATGCCTATGGGAGCAGTCGTGAGTGACTGTTGGGATTCACATGTTTTCATTTCTATGGGGTTCATCTTCAGGAAAGATCGTTTACGACAAACTGATTTTTAACTTTTTTTTCCCCCTGATTCAGGGTTTCTCTGTAGCTTTAAAGCCTGTCCTTTGTAGACCTGTAGCTTTGTAGACCACTAGCTTTGTAGAACAAGTTGGACTCGAACTCACAGAGATCCACCTGCCTCTGTCTCCGAGTGCTGGAACTAATGGCGTGCACTGCCACTGTCCGTATATACTTATTTTTTTTAAAGTGTATTAAAAACGACTTATACTTTTATGAAGTTCACTAATGCTTATAAGAAAGAATCATATCTTTAAATACTAATGTGTTAAACCCAGGAATATCATGTTTGACCGTTTCTTTAAATAGGAACCTCTCAAATTGAGGTTTTTTGGTTTTTTTTTAAAAGTTTTACTTTTAAAGTTTGTGGTTTTCAGTTTATGGGTATGTGTGTATGTGCCAGGTGTGGGGGCACAGTGGAGGCCAGAAGAGGGTGTCAGATTCCCTGGAGCTGAAATTACAGGCAATTGTGGTTCACCCAAACTGGGTGCTGGGAACCAAACTGGGGTCCCCTGGAAGAGCAGCAAATGTGCCTAAGCATTAAGCGACCGCTCTAGTCCTCAAAGTAAGGTTTCACTAACTGTATGTATTTTTGAGATATAGATGGGCAACTCAGTGTGACCTGCAGGCATCTTGTTTTTTAGTCAAACTAGGTACTTTATCTTTCTCATGAGTGAGGAATAAATTCATATTCTTTGTGCGGTTTTAATGTTTTGAAGGTAACACATTTCTAAAACAAGTGGTGATGCTTCACATGGCAACATCTCAACAAATGACAAACTAAGGCCTGGAGAGACGGCTCAGCAGTGAAGAGCACTGGCTGCTCTTCCTGAGGACCCGGGTTCAATTCCTGGTGCCCACATGGCGGCTCACATCTGTCTGTAACTCCAGTTCCAGGGGATCTGATCCCCTCACATGGATGTATATGCAGGCAAAACACCAAGGCACATAAAATAAAAATAAATTATAAGCAAAACAACAAATGGCAAACTAGTTCTTCATTAGATCTCAGGATTTTTCTTCAACCAATTTTCGTAGCCTATCAAAACTATCCTAGAAAACATACATAAACTTCATGAGATTTTAATAGATTTTTTTTAGATTAGATTTTATTTTTCATAGTATTTTTTTTTTTTTTTTAGCCCAACACGCTCTCGTGTACCTTAGGCTGGCCTTCCTTGGCCACGCCATGTAGCCAAGGATGACTGTGAGCCTTTGGTGCCCCTGCCTCGAAATCTAAGTACGGGAACGTCAGCTGTGCGCCGCCTTCCCCCGTTTATTCAGGGCCAGTCCCGGGCTTCCAGCATGCTATGCTAGCTAGCACTCCACGAGCTGAGCTACATTCCAGCCCATGGTGATTTTATTTCTCTGTTGTTTTGTGCCATTATTTTGTGGTCATGTCCATGCACGCGCCTGGCTGTTCTAGCTTGTGGCTCTCCTCCCACTGCTATGCCTTATGCACGCGCCTGGCTGTTCTAGCTTGTGGCTCTCCTCCCACTGCTATGTAGCAAAGGCTGACTTTTAACTCCTCTGCTTTCCTCATTAGAGACTCTGCAGCTCTGAGTTTTCTTCTGGGTCTAGTTTGGTCACATGGTTTAGTTCAGAAATGTATTGGAAAATGATAGAATTTTACCTAGAGGCTACTGAAATTTCCAACTGACGTGATTATAAAATTTTAGTTTCTCTTAAATATCATAATGCTTTTTACACACATGGGCAGATATTTTTTTTTCCTTTGTGGACTCATGAAATTTCTTTTGAGTTTGCTACAGTACTGATTTTAATACAGTTCACTAGTTGCTTATTTTACATTCTATTATTATATTCAGATAACACTATAATAATGTTCTTTAAAAACAATTTTGATTAGTGAACTATTTTATGTCATTTTTATTATTCCTAAATATAACTACCTCCAGCATTTTGTTCCTACAAAGGCCATTTTCTCAGTAAGTTTTCTTGAATAGATGCTCAGCTTGAGTTCCTTTCTTATCCTGTGAGCGAGAAGAAGTTGGCATACCCGCGTCATCCGTGGAGAACCTGAGGGAGTGGAATCTGCCTTGGCAACACTGGCTGACACAGTCTGAGCAACTCAGACTCAGGCGACCCTCCCAGCAGGGAAAGTGACTTTGGGGTCCTCTCACTGACCCTCACAGAAGTGAGCTTGGCTGCAGGGAGTGAATTCCATCTACTAGAAAGGAGACCTACGCCTCATCGTGGGAGCCAGTTTCCATACTCACAAGGCCCAGATGCTGGCGCATTTCTGAAGGCACAAAGTGGACTCAAGGATTTATCATATCATTATTAAGGGCCACCTGCTTCTGGGTCACCTCAGCGGAGAGGGTGACAAGGGCCTATCTCACATCCTAGTCCCGAGTGCTTTCCTTGTAAAGCAAATGGCCACCTTCAAGAAAGAATACTACTGAAAAAAAGTGTGCTTTCAACTGCATGCACTTTGAAGAACATTTCAAATTCCTCTCACTGGAAGACACAGATGGACCGAACCAAGGGGAAGAATGAAGCGTCAGGGTAAGATGTTTTGTAGAGGACTGTCCAAGTCAGAGAAGCTTGGAACCGAGCACAAAATCTAGTTCCGAGTTTCCTGGTCAAAAGCGTTGATGCGGGTTAGGGTTTATAATCAAAGGGAAAGAAACTCATCATTTGGCATGGAAATGGAATAGCCACTTGCTTTGCAGTCGTAGAACTTACTGGGTAGGCCTCAAGCAAAATCACATGATCGTTATAACAGACCATCGTATCAGTTTTTACATAGTAATTTTCAAAATTGCAAACTAGTAACTTTATAACCAATTATATATTTGTAAGTTAGTTATCAGAAAGTAAGGAAAGCACAGTCCGCCTTGTTTGTATATAGAATGTCTTGTTTTTATAGAGCCTAAAGATTAAGGGAGCATCTTTAGTGTATTTTTGTGTGTGTGTGTGTGTGTGTGTGAAAGAGAGAGAGAGAGAGAGAGAGAGAGAGAGAGAGAGAATGTATGTGTATGTGGGGTGTGTAAGTGTTCTGTTTGTGTATGTGTCTGTGGTCTGTATGTGGTGTGTAAGTGTATGTGGAGTGTGTAAGTATTCTGTTTGTGTATGTGTGTGGTGTATGTGTGGTATGTATGTGTATGTGGAGTGCATAAGTGTGTCTGTGTGTATGTGGGGTGTGTGTAGTGTGTATGTGTATGTGGGATGTGTGTGAATGTATGTATATGTGTGTGTGGAGTGTGTGTGTCTGTGCGTGTATGTGGGGTGTGTGTGATATGTATGTGTATGTGAAGTGTGTAAGTGTGTCTGTGTGTGTATGCGGTGTGTGTGTGGTGTGTATGTATATGTGTGGTGTGTGAGTGTGTGTGTATGTGTGTGAGAATGTATATGTATGTGGAGTATGTACGTGTTCTGTCTGTGTATGTGTGTGTGGTATGTATGTGTATGTGGAGTGTGTGTGTATGTGTGGTGTGTGTGGTGTGTATGTGTATATGGAGTGTGTAAGTGTGTCTGTGTGTGTATGTGTGGTGTGTATGTGGTGTGTATGTGTGCCCGTGCCCATGTGGAGGTGAGAGGACATCTTGTGAGAGTCAGTTCCCTCCCTCCACTCTGGTCCTCAGTCTTGGCAGCCAACACCTTTTGCTTATCCATCTCACCAGCCTTCTTTCTTTACCTTTAGCTCAAACACACACACGCACACACACAAACACACGCGCGCGCTTTTTCTGTAATGTTGTACAGTTTCTAGTGTGTCCATTTGTTGACTTTTAATCCCTGCATTATTTAACTACTGTTTCGCTGGATGTGGTCAGTTCACCTGTCTTTGTGGGAAAGCGAGCTACCTACAAACTGCAAGTAAGTTTAATGCTATCCCATGTGAGAGTCCAGGGGCAAGGCTGGTGACATCACTGAGCCTGGCTCCCCTGCTTATTCGGGAACAGAGTCCCTACTCAGAGCATGTGGTTAGCACTTGATCCTAATCAAAGGACCCCAAATACTTGGATCTAGTTCATTTTAATCTTAGTTGAAAAGAGTGTAGATGGACACTTAGGGCAAAGTGAAGGCAGCATAATATCTCCCCTTCAAGTGCTGCACAGCCTTCAGAATGCGACCTGGATTGCGGCCTCGTAATTCTCCTTGAAGCAAACAGAAGGGTCTCACCACACAGAAAGCAGCGGTTTGTGAGGCCAGGACAGACAGCCGCACAAGAGGACTCTGTTCATGGTCTTCAAAGTGAGGCAGCGATGGCATGGTTGCTGCTGTGGCCACATGTAATATCGCCTGTAGCTCTTTAAAGAGGATTAGCCCAGCGTGCTGAGAGCATTCAAAGCTGGATTTCATGTAGAGCTGAATATGCTAATGAGATGGTAATGTGTACGGCAAACATTTCGTAATATCAAATCCCTTCCAAACTCAGCTTTGTCCCTCCCACAGTGGGAAACCAAACTTCATCTTATCAGAAGGGCTAGGTTTTTTTTTTTTCTGCCTCGTGTATCTGCCTGGATAAAAGATGAAGTTAAATATATGGGCATTTATATTTAAGCTAAATTCCACTCCAAAGTAAGCAGAAAATCAAAGCCTGCTTATAGACAGTCATTTAAAAAGAATTTTACTAGGGCTATCTGCCCCCAGGGGTGAATGTAAAATACTCGATCCTTGTAGAAAGCAACACATGTATTGTTGAAACTTCACTTTAGAATTTCTTTTTGTGATTCTCTCTCTCTCTCTCTCTCTCTCTCTCTCTCTCTCTCTCTTTCCCAGTACAGAGTCTTTCTGCTCAGTGTCATGACTTCCCAGGTCGTGTCTCCACTCGTCCAGATTTGAGATTTGCTGGTTTTGTTTTTAAACTTGCTGTGTGCTTGGGGGATGATCTGTAAGTTGTTTCCAACTTAGTATTTCTGTTTCAGAGCCTCTTTGGCATAGCCAAGGTGAATTCATGGCAAGGCTGCGATTGCAACCCATGTAGCTGCATCCAGCATCCTTGCACATGGTTCCCGGAGATTGAAAACCCCCTGAAGACTTCGTCTCACTGGCTGGGAAAGAGAACCAGCAAGCACATGGAACCCAGGGCCCCTGGCTCGATGTCAGATGTGTGAGCTTTTATTAGTTATCGTCAGCTCACTGCACTTGACTGAGGAGCTTAGGCTTCCTTAGTTTTTGTTGGTTAGAAATAGTGTGTGTGCGTGCGTGTGCGTGTGCGTGTGTGTGTGTGTGTGTGTTTATCGAAGTTTTGAAGGGTTTGTCTGTGGACACAGAGGGACGGTGATACATATTCATGAAAGACTGTGCTCTCCACTCCGTGTTAGCCCTGACAAAGCCTTAGCTGTTTCACACAGCAAGCTGACTGGGATTGTGTGTGGGGGCTGCACGGCCAGATTAGTGCAAACAGTGAGCCCACTCCTCTGCTTGTTAGGCCTTTTCCTGACAATCTCCCCAATTGTCGCTTGGGACAAGGCTGTCACTAGGTGATGGCTTCTTTTGGCCATTTTGAGATAAAGATAATTTCCTTAACTTCCATTTTATTTGACCACAAGCACTGTGGTTGAGAGAGGAAGCACTTCCGCAGTTTAGGGATCAGGGCTCTGTCACTTCAAAGGCAACTTTGATCTAAAAATATGTGCTGTACCAAATTCATTATGTCTTTCCTTAAAGAGCTTTTAAATTTATTGATCTTCTCCTCAATTATTCTCCTTTTCCATCCAGTAAGGATGTGTGAGATGCAGTGTTGGAGGAGCCTAAGGAGGAGTGGGGGGGAGGGCTGCAGCCAACTGGCCACTTCTAAGCACCGAACAACAGGTGCTTTTGTTCCCCCCTTGAGCCTCTGTTGAATCCCTGAGCGACAGAGCCCCTCGGCTGCTTGCGGACGCACACTGATATTGGTACCAACAGAATAAGACAAAACGACGTTTGATATTGCAGCTCAATAAAAGAAAAAATATTCTATACAAAAATTGTGCCAACGGTCATCTCGCGCCCCCCCCCCCGCCCGGCCCCCATTGTGCCCACGATTTTGAAGGCCAGCTTGCAGGGGTTGTGCAGGGATAGCACGGCCTCTTTGTTGATGAATAATTTGGCTTCCACCAGGAACAGTCTTCCCCTGGGCTGAGGGTTAGCTTGATTAAGTTCATATAATTGGATTGATGGAAGATTATACAAAGCAGCAAAGCAAGAGGATAAAAATCTCTATGGTTATACGTGAAAATTTCCTTTAAAGTAATAATGGCACAGGGCTGATCTGGGAGGATGGCAGAGGGAGGAGCAAGGAGGTGATACGGTCGAAAACACTGTGTGAAGTTCTCAAGGAATCAGTACAAAATACTTTAATGCAGAAAAAAATGTCATTGTTCGTAAGAGAAATAGTCTGGGTGATTTAAGAAGAATGTGTTTTTTTTGTGGCATCTTTAATTTGCTCTCAAATAGTTCTAATCCATACACACGCATGAATGCATATGTAAATAGGCATGTATGGCAAATGTTCTGCACAGGGTAATTAGACTGCATTATCCTTTGAACTTTACTGTGTATTTAAATTTTTCATCATACAAAAACCATCTTCAAAATAAAATACCAGAAGAGGGAGGGAACAAAAGCTTCAGCGTAGGAACACTTTTGACCTGGGGAGCAGGCCCTCTTTCTGGAGACTTTGCTGCTCTTCAATTCCTTCTGTTCTTGCTGTTTCAAGACATGGTTATGTGAAATCGCTGTGTTTTCAACAACACCTGAAATGCAGGGTAAAATGATTTCCATGAGAAGTATCACGATCAACCATTCGCTTCTCAAACATCACATATAATAGTTAATTTTGGACTGGGCAAACGGCTGGTATTCATTCCCGCAATTAAGAAAAGTTTAAACAGCTTAATCCGAGTTTTCTTGTCCTGGGTGCTCTTATTTCTCGCGATTTCAGAAAGTGTTGGTGGTTAGTAAATTCGTTTGGCACGCCATGATTTCAAAGTCTTAGTCATTCAGGAAAATATGTAATTTCTTCTCCCAGTGTTGGGAATCCAAACCTAGGGGCTCATGTCTGCTACCAAGTTATGCCCCCGATTTGTAAGCATGATGAAACATGATTAACACATGCTGTCCAATCATGTCCTTAGGCTCCTACAAGAATAGAAATTGCTTCTTTTGAAAAAAAAAAAAAAACAGTTCTTTGAATTTCCCAAACTGCTTGTAGTATAACAGTACCATTGTTTTGAAAAGCTGGTTTGGCACCAGGGAACCCGTGTTTCCTAGGCACCAAGATGTCCACAGCTTTCTCAGCAATGCCAGGCACTCCGTGTTATGCCAACTCATCCTGATTGAGAGGGAGATAGTATGGTTAGCTCAGGTTTGCCCATGAGGAAACTGAGGTTCATAGAACCCAAGTAATGAGGCCCTTTCTCACAACTGGTCAATGGTACAGCCTGAATGCAGACCCGAAAACTTGGGATCTTAAGCCATGTTGTTACTGTAGGATCAGAAGGCGCAGGGCTCGCAATACGTGAATGGACCTGGCCTGATTGCTGCTTATACCAATCTAGGGAAAGTGTGCTCTATCT